GAAAACGTAACTACATATTTCATATTAATCCAAACAAACACAACATTACTTGTTCAAAACAAGATTTCATATTAATTCAAACCAACATAACATTACTTGTTCAAATTATAGAATAAACAAAAACATAACAATCAAATTCCAATATAATGGTTTTTTTCACCAGTCTCATACAGTCTAGGGCTCTTCAATGTTTTTTTCACAAGTAGGAAGAAGAAAAAAAACACAACAGGTTCAATGTAAATGCAAAAAATGATTTAGCATAAAAGGAAAACACAGTGATCAAGAACATCATGATCCATTGATCCCACATGGTTCTCACCAATTTCTTCCTTGCACAAATAACTTGAATCCACCAACGAGATTTCATAATATCAATTCGGGAAAAAAAATTGATGCATATAAACATGAGATTTCATATAAAAAATTAGGGTTTCACTCACTTGGATTTGTGCTTTTCCTGGATGAGACGCAGGGGCTTTCGTTGATGGGATCTAAGGAGTGTCGGGAGGGAGATGTTATGGTTGATGGGGATTCTACGGAGTGAGAGAAGGAGATGAAGGGGTTTCAGAGTTGAAACGATTGACGAGATCAGAGGCGTCGATGTTACCGTCGGAGAAGCAGAGGCGGGCCTGAGTCGCCGATGCCATTGTCGGAGAAGCAGAGGGAAGGAGGCAGGTCTGCAAGATGGAACGATTGACGAGATCGTTTGGGAGGAGGAACGATGCGTGGGAGGAGGAGGAGTAGGAACGATGATGCTGGAGTGGAGAAGGGTAATGTTGGAAAAATAAGGCTCTGAATCATTAGGCAACCCCTCAGATGCAAAATGGTTAAGAGGTAATTGTCACCATTAAGAGGATCATTTTTTTTTGCCAAACAACCTCTGTCTCTTACCGATTAAGAGGTTGCCTCTTAATGTCACCATTAAGAGGCAAACAAACAGCCCCTAAGTTTAATTGAAATGAATTGATTCAGATTTCAGACTTCAGAAGTTTATCAGTTTACAAAAACAAACAGTCTGACTGATTCAGATTTCAGATTTCAGACGTAAAAACAAACAGTCTAACTGATTCAGATTTCAGACATAAAAACAAACAGTCTGACTGATTCAGATTTCAGATTTCAGACGTAAAAACAAACAGTCAGACTGATTCAGATTTCAGACTTCAGCACCACCTCTTAAAATTCAGAAGTGAATTCAGACTTCAGACTTCAGCACCTCTTAAAAAACAAACGCCACGTAAGTGTTTCGAGTTTTTTGTTTTTAATGGTATATTGTGTAATTTAAAGCTTCAAATGAAGTAAACGAGGAACGCCGTCAAGGCCCTTAGAGGATGAATATTGAATGTATTCATGAACGGTGGTTTCTCTGTATCTCGGTGGGTTGTCATCGGAAACCAACTCTTTGATGGGTCCGTACACCTTCGTCGACGGCGCTCTGGAGGTTCTGAAGAAGCATGCCACCGATACCCTCGGCCCTTTCTCGCTTGCAACCACTCTGTGCTCCACGCTCCTCAATTTGTCATTCGATATCATCTGAAACCTTAACAAAATCAGACTCTAATTTTGACTTTCAAAGTCAAAATCACATATTGAATGTTGTACCTGTAATAGATCTCCAATGTTGACGACGAGGGCACCAGGGGTTGGAGGAACATCAATCCATTGTTGGTTGTGAAGTATTTGAAGGCCTCCGATTTCATCTTGTAGAACAACAGTAAGGAATCCATCGTCTGTGTGTTTGGCTGCACCCATGGTTAGATCTGGTTGTGGACAAGCAGGGTAACAATGACCGGCGAATATAAGCCCCTTGTCACAATCCAGATCTCCAAGGTGATTAGGGTTCAGCTTCAACGCCTCCGAGATCAATCGGAATAGGACGCCACCTAGTTTCAGCACTTGATTAGAGTATTCAATTTGTATGTCTCTACAAACCTCCGGCAGTTGTTCCGGCGGCGGAGGTGACGGAGCCATTAATGTATAGAAGGTGTCCCTCCAACTCGCGGCGGGGGAACTATACAGATCGAAATTGCTATTATACACCACTGTTCTCGAAGGATCTCTTGAGTAAAACCGTTTCTTCACCTCCACATCTTGGTCGTGAAATCTACCAACACCTTGAAGCATGTCGTTCATCACACTCACTGGGATCCCATGATTCACCACTTGAAAAAATCCTAGATTCTCCGATGCCTCACGGATCTTCTCCACCGTCGATGCTCTATCGATGGATCCAAGGTCAACGACTGGAATCTCGAAAGGCATGGAGGTTTTGGGCAAGGGTTCCGGTTGGTGAATGAAGATGCATGGGATTTCTCGGATTCCGGCATCGGCGAGGGCTTTGACGCCGGCTTTTGTTTGGTCAAAGGCTTTGAGTTGGGTTGGTCGATCGTAATCTGGGACGATGGAAGGTGTGGTTTCAGTGGTAGCCATTGTTTTTTGAATAAAAAAATTAAAAACAATGTAATTAAATAATTTATTTATATTGTCTTTTTTTTCCAACCGTAGATGTCAAACTAGTTTATGTGCATTACGACTAATCAATCTTATAAAAGCCTGAAAAAAGTTAGTAAAATCCTCAGTCACTTTCAGAAGAGATTACCTCTTAAAAAAAATCCCCCCTTGCATTTCTTTTTATTTTATCGAGCTTAATATTTCAGTGTTTCTTTAATTCAAGGTAAATTACTTAATCAAATCTCGTAATTTTTTATGGCTATGGCTTCGTTTTTAAGAGCCTTATCAAACCTTAGTAGTCTTATGTTTCAAAATTATGTTCTTGAGGGTCAAAATTGATGTTCAAAGTTTTGTAAGTTTAGTTACAAACCAAAATTTTAAAGGAGGAAATGAGGCTCATTACTTATTAAAAAATGATGTTCTTTATGAGAAAATGTTGGTAAAAATCATCGGGACTTTTATGCCAAAAGAATGGAATTTGTGTTCCTTATATGAAAAAGTTGGTCAAAATTGGTGTTCTTTGTATGAAATGTTGGTCAAAATTGGTGTGGTCAAAATTGTACACACATACATACATCAAAATAAATAAATAGAATATTTGATTTGTTTAATTTTTTTTAAAAATTAATTATATTAATTAAGATTTAATATTATTGTTATATTGTAATGGTGAAAAAATATGGTTTTAATGTAAATAAATTTTTATTTTTTCAAATTAAATTATAAAACCATATTTTATTTTATTTAGAGCGAATAAAATAAAATATGATTTTATGATTTAATTTGTTTAAATTAAAAAAATAATTATGTTAAATATGATTTAATTTTATTGTTGTTTTTGTATCATTGCAATAAAAAACTTATCATCGATATTTTAACACCAAAATTACTTAAAACCACTAAGAAATGAACTACAATCTTATTATTGAGGACGATACCACCTTTCGACGAAAACATTTTCACGACAAAAAAGCCTCTAAGCGTCAAGAAACCGGAATTCAAAGTGAAAACCAATCCGAATCAAGAGCAATCACGGCAAATATCAAACGTTCGATTTGATAAGAAGAAAGACGGCTTATAATTCTCAAAAATTTGCACAACACACTAAAATCTAGACATATGGGTTTAAAGGATCATCGAAATATGTGATTAGTGCCTTAAAGAAAATTCAGCCGACAATCAGATGGCGAAAAAAGAACGACAAACCCGATGATAAAAAAGACAAGACAAAATGGTGCAACTTTCATGATGACTACGGTCATTTGACAAACGACTGCCTTGCTCTAAGGAAGGAAATCGTTTGGTTTGTCCCAAAAGGACATCGACAAGATTTAATAACGAGTTACGATGCTAAAAAACAACTCTCGACCTCCATCCCTTGAACATTCAAAGATCGTGAACTATATCACCGAAGGATAAAATACGTGTGGATTCACCTATTCAATGGCAAAGAGGCATGTAGATCAGAGTATAGACGAAATTACGATCCCCAAATCACACAAGACTAAAGCAAAGTTAAAATTGGAAGCGAGAGATCTCTTTCGATCAGGATGATCTATGCGACCCCTGGAAAAAACATCATGATAGGTTGATCATTCAACTCCTGAATGGTAATTGTCTAACGAAATGGATCTTGACTGATGGCGGAAGCTCAGCTAACGTCATATTTTATTTAAAATATATTTTTTTGGAAAAAAAAAACTTTTTTTCTTAAAAATTTCAGACGAATTTTAATTTTTTAAATAAAAAACATAAAAAATGATAATCCGTCGGAAATCCATTGGAACTGTTTAAGAAAAATGTTTTTGTTTTCTTTTAGTAATGGTTTCTGAAAAAAGAATAAAATTAAAAAAGAGATTCTAAAAACATCCGACGGATTTTAATTAAATAAAAAAAATTAATTAAAATCCATCGTAAATCCGTCGAAAACTATAATTAATTAACACTAATTAATTTATTTACAAAAACTAGACTAATTTTGTGAGGATTTATGATGGTATTAAATAAGTAAAAAATCCGTCACAAATCCATCCAGAAAGTTATCGAAATAAAATTTTATTTTTTTAAAAAGAATTTAGTGACGGATTTGTGGGAGATTTGTGACGGAAGTCAACAAAAGTTGACTTTTCTTGGCTTTTTTGAGATCCGTCGGAAATCCCTCGGTATTCTGTCATTGAATTTTCCAACGGAATTTCCGTCAGAAAAATCCGTCGGTAATACCCATTTTTTTAGTAGTGTAATCTTTAACCCGGTTTTCTAAATTTCAAACACGAATATACTCATACAATGGTTTTACTATATTATATAACATTTACAACTTAGTAGTATATTTATAAAACTAACTCACAATCAACTAATAAACATGTTTAAATAATTTATAAAACTGATAATCATCATAATACTTACTCTGCTCTTCTAAAACAACATAAATTAATTCATAAAATAGATAATAAAAAAAAGACGAAACTGAGATTGTATTATTCAAAAGCTTCTAGTAATTAATGATAATACATAGATTCTTCCATTTTGGATATTTACATACACTCGAGTGAACCACTTGCAAATAACAATAATTATCGGGTACGAATATTAGTTAGGGGTCGTTTACCAAATACTTACCCGGAAGCGTTTACCGGTAAAAATTAACACTATCATTTACTTACCGGGTAAGATTTTAGTCCACCAAAACGGTATTGTATGTAATAATTTACCTGGTAAGTGCTTACCGTGGTAAAAGTCGTCGCCCTCACTTACTCGGTAAGACTCTTGATGCTTATCTCATTCTTACCGGATAAGATTATTGGTCCTTACATATTCATCCGATAAACCGATAAGATAATGTAACTTGATGTTCACTTACCCGAGTAAGAGTTTGATAAATGACTCTTAGTTAAATAGTTAATTGGATGAGTAAACCACTTACAATAATGCTTTATATGTAGATTTCTTTTTCAAAAGATGATGGAAGTAACATGATATGAAGTTTGAAACAAATTGTGTAGTGGTTTTTCATCATATTAATCTAAAAGCATGATAAAGTGATCGTTGACGATTAGTTGCCACTGTTGTTTATGCGATATTTTCAAATAAAGTTTGATTAGATAGTAATGATGTATAATTCCAACAAAAAAGATAAAGATAAAGTTAGATTATCGTATCCTTCTAATGCGAGGAGCATGTTTTTTGCATCTTATTGATGTGACCAAATTGGTTTATCGCACTTATGTAATGTGATGAGTTGCGCACTAGAGCGCCCTTGTTGACGATCCTTTACTCCGACAGCATCTAGGGTTCCTCGAACAATGTGATATCTCACACCGGGTAAATCCTTAACCCTCCCCCCTCTTACTAAGACTACAGAATGTTCTTGTGAATTATGGCCAATACAGGGTATATAAGCAGTGATTTCAAATCCAGAGGTTAATCGTACTCTGGCAACTTTACGTAAGGCAGAGTTTGGTTTTTTTGGGGTGATAGTGGAAAARTTGACAGATAAGTCACCCTTACTGCCACTCTACAGAACCGTGTGATGCGAGGAAATGGGATTGACTCATCCATGTGATGCGGGAAAATTATATAATCATCTATATGATGTGATAAGTTTACTCAGGATGTGTTTATCAAGCTATTTGATTATTTTGATGCGATAAATGAGGTTTGTTATATCAAAATGATGTATATTTGTTATTATTACAAAGATTAGTTTATAAATGTGATTTGGTGATTATTCACCCTGTGATAGCATCAAAGAGATTTCTCACTAGACCTCAAGATCTAACCCTCATTTTGTGTTTTAAAAATGTGCATTACAGGTCGCGCTCAATCAAAGGATAAGGGGAAGGGAAAATTGTAAAGTGTTATATATATATATATATATATATGTGTGTGTGTGCTTGCATGGGATTTTGGGCTAGCATATCCTTCTTTTATATCTCAGTACTTGTTATGTATTCAAATGTTGTATAGATATTTTTGTGGAAAAATTTGGTAGCTACTTTGTAATATAGTTTTTTAAATTAGTGGGACCATTTGTGTAAACTATATTTCATGATATATGGAAATATATGTTTATATGCAAATTGTGATTTTGGGGTGTTACAAGTTTATTATCAAAGCCTGAGTTTAAGGGATTTAGGTATCCAGCATGATACCTGGACTTAAACTGTATTTTTTGCATATGTAAAACCGTTGGAATAAATATGATGGGTTAAGAGAACGATAGGTAAGGTAAATTCAAATTACAAATGGCCAATGTAATTATGAATTTATAGATACATATTTGTACTTGGATACCTTATTATATTTGGGAATGTGATAATTTAAATATTAAATTTTGAAAATTTACATATGGCAAGTCATTCACGAAGGTCTGAAAATATCGCCCTTATCAGCCCAGACAAGAGGAGAGTTCACCTGAAAATAATCCTACAAATCTACCAGTAGGCAGAGGTATAGGGCAAGGTCGGGGCAGGGGTCGGGGAAGGGGACGTGGGAGAGAAAGGAACAGTCAACCTGAAGTTCATCCAGACCAGGGTGAATCAATTCTAGAGAATGTAAGCCAAGAACCAGTACAACATCCTGAGTATGTTACTCGGGACATGTTAGCAAAAGAAATGAACAAGCTGAGAAATACCCTAACATCTATTCTGAGAGTACCAGCCAGGGTAAAAACAAAAAGGGTTGTTGTAAAAATCAACAGATCCGGTCTGCAAACACCAGAGGGGGTGATATCAAAATGTTTTTAACTTGTAAACCCCCAACATTCTCTAAGGAAAGGGATCCGGTGAAGTTAATGTGTTGGTTAACAAATATAGAATCTTTATTCAATACTCGTAAGGTGGCGTTTGGTTCGCAGAATATTTTTGGATGAAATGGAATATGTTAAAGGAATTTGACTTTGAAGGAATTGGAATGGAATGTTGTCATGTTTGACCACCTGTTTGGTTGGTAGACTTTGGAATGAAATCTGTTAAGAAATT